CTCCGATGGACGAGATAACAAATAAATTATTGGGATAGGTTTTTCGATAATTCGCTTCAATACAATTTCAGGATTGGCGAGCAGAGAATACACAAATAGAACCAACTTCTTACAAAACTTAGTGCAATTTATTATTTTTAGCTTGTTTATTGTACGGCCATTGAAAGTGTAGAAGTGACAATGCTATAGTAATAAATAGAATCCTGATATATTTTCAGAAGCTCTTTGGATAATTACCAAATTTTATTTCAGTGAAGTTTTTGCTGTTTGCATAAAGCAGAAGCTTATCAAAGTTTCATAATCGTGTTTCGCTAACTTTGAAGAAACAAATACTATTCCCTAGTTACTATACATACTTATATGAAGATATTAACAAAATTATCTGGACTTGCTATATAATAGGTTACGTCAACCTACAATGTTGCATAAACTTGAGAAATTATTTCGAATGCAAAACAGACTTTCTTAGTAATTTAATAACGCTTGGGACACGTAGTTACACACATCATAAGCAAAGTTAACTAAGTTTTGTTTTATTTTTGCACATAGGAGAAATGCATTTAGTCGGTGGGATAAATTATGGCGATTGTTACTGTTTATCTGTTTAAAGCGGCACCTGTTCAAAGTAGGAAATTACTTTGGAGTCTTTTCATCATTTTGATTGCCGGCTTTGCGAGTTTATGTTGAAATTATAACTTAGTTAATGGCCCAGGATTGGATTATAGTTAAAAATAGATAAGTTGAGATTAAGTAGCAGAGAAAATCTAACCGTTTATTCTATTATTGTATGTGTTTTACCGCTGATAAATAAATTTGCAATAAACGACCAATGGTTTAAAACGGTTTTGCCCTCCTACTAAAAGTCCCCGAAATGATTCTCTCAACAATTAAATTAACATGAAATTGTAAGCATTATTGCATGACGAGGTATTTTTAACCGTAACGGAGATATACCTACCCGACGTTTTTCAGTGCTCGTTTGTGTGCATTTTGCAGTTGGATAAAAGTCGGATTACGAATGTCATCGAATATAAAAGTGCTTTTAGCATTTTATTTATCTTACGGCTTTGCCACCAGGCGGGGTGCGTATTTTACAAAACTAACTATTGTGAGGACGAATTAATTAGATTCTTAATTAATTTCAACTGGACGACAAACAAAGGATTAAAAATCGTTTAGATAATCGGCCCACGTCACTGATTATCAACAGCGAAACGAATTGTGCGGTGATATCTCTCACCACCCGTGCACGTCCCACATATTGCGTGGGTGGTCTACCGTTATTTCACCCCTATTATTGTGTGACCTTTTAAATTTTTTGCATTTACTTATGCCTGTATATAAATTAGATAGAGTTACCAAATTTCTCTTAAAAATTATTAGATATATTATATGTATAAACAATTAAATTCCAGTAGAAGAAAAACCAATTTATCATTCAATTAGTTTGAACAACAAATAACAATAGTAATAACGCTATTTCCATAATTTACTGTTGCAAGTGTTCACAACTAAATATAGAAAATAATTTTTACTGTTTCATGATTCTTCAGGCAGTTGTGATTATAAGCTTATTGTTCGACGCAATAGAAATTATGATTTATTTAATTGCCTATGTATTTATTATGCACAGTTCGTAATCAATAGATCACAATTTTACGACCTAAACATCCTTCATGGAGTTTTTTTTAAGTGTGTTAGATATGACTGTGATTCCAGAAACGTAGTACCTGCGTTTAATTTTTTATTATACATTTACTTAGAACAGCCTTATAAATGCCATTTCAACGGAACAGATAAAAGATATTTATTGATAAAAAAAAGAAAATATACAGGGTGTTTTTTAATAACATACCAATACTGTTGCTAATGCTAATGCTAATGTTAATGCTAATACTGAAGTTTTTTTCTTAAAATCGCCCCCTTCAGTATTAGCATGTTATTAAAAAACACCTGGTATAGTTATAAATTCAAGAAATGAAAAAGTTTAACGAGAAAATTAACAAAATCAATCAGGATTATTACCAAGATAATTCCTACAACAATCAATTCCATTCCAAATAGGCATAAATGAAGAACAGAAAATGTAATATTATCAATTAATAAACGAGATAAGTATAAGTATGTATCAGATTAAAAAAATCTTCACGCTTTTCATCATCCCCTTCGACCGTAATTCCTTTGCAGATCATCGCCACCTCTAATCTACTTCAGCGTCGTGACAAAATGATCCGTCTCGGGAAATTTTCCTCCCTGAAATAAAGTTTCCGCGAAACATTTTTTCCATTTCCAAGTCAAGAAATATGATATGATCTACAGAATAAATTATATTTGTAACGAAGCGCAGCTCCCAGCTAGAAAGCAAATCATTTAGATTGAGGGAGTTGTTAGAGAAAAGCGGCCTTCGGGATACGTTACGGGGTTTCTTATCGGATATCCAGGAGAGTTCGAGGAGTTTTCGTTTTTGGGACAATCGGAAAGTTTAAGATGTTGGCGTGATGGTGGTAATTGAGAGGAATATTATAAGACCGTGCATTAATTCGGTGTATCAAATTCAATTAGTTTTACTTCGTTAAAGACAGTACTTTCTTTCATTAGTCATTCAAAATTTCGTCGAATGCCTGATTCAACGTTTAATTGGATGATCTTTTAGATTATTAGCAGTTAAAGTTAAAATGCAATTAATTTATATATAATTTAGAGCATTTCATAATTCAATATTTGAGTAATCATAATATTGTTTGATCAATATTAGGTTTAGGTAACAATAAATAGGTTAAACATTATTATAAAAGCACATCGCTATACATATATTTTATTTAGGTTGTAACAACTTGTAGAATATCGATCAAACTGGTTAATTTTTCGAATTAGTCTCTATTTATAAAAATCGCATTGTTGCTAACACCCCTTTAATAAAAAAATCACTTCGAAAACAGATTACCCGAGCGCGCGTGTAAAACCTCCAACAGTAAACAGATATTGTTTTCACAAACAACAATTAAGTTGTTTTGTGAAGGCTCAAACGCCGAACTAAAATTTTCCGGTCGAAATAGTTCGAACAGGAAAACACCGTCTTTATCGACTCGTTACTTTCCACTTCTCTCTTTCCCTTATTTACGGCGATGGCGAAGACAAAATCGGCGAGCCATTCGTAATAATAGGGAAAATTAATCACAAAATCGATTACAACTACATTTTTACGTAGATGTTTCTTCTATGTCTCATTTCCTATGCACAGTTCAGGAGTAGATTTACCATTTACTTTTCCTTCTAGCTGTTCAATTCGTTTAAAAGTGTAACACCTTCGATTCAAATTTTCTCGAATTTTCCTACGGGTGAAATCGAAGCTGCAATCGCGCTGCCGTAATGCGCGATGAGAATGAGAAAAGGGACGCGGTGGAGAGTCTCGCAGTCTCGCAGACTTCTCACATTATACGTGAGCGTATTTCCCTCGAAGATTCGAGGTGCTCGGTTGGGGCTCTATGCTCACAGCTACGAACGTGTTCGTACTCGAAACTCTCATCCTTGACGCAAAGCGAGAAAGTTTCGCAAAAGGGCCGGGAACTGTTTGCTATAATTTACGGGCCACTTAATCTGGGGGCATCGATGTGCTCATTGCAAGTCGCAGGGAAAATTAGCGCGTTAGAAATGATTATTTATTTTGAATGAATTATTTGGGGCGTTGTGTGCTCGTATATTTGCGATGTATTAGCGTTGAATTGTTTTTCATTATGATTTGTTAGCTTATTCAAATATTAATTTATTTTATAGCGTTGATAGACTAAATTAATTTGAACCTCGAGTGCCGTAAAATGTTAATGAATTCCGCCGTCAGTTTTATTTAGTTTACCTTTCGTTTGATTGAAAGGGAACTAGAATAATTTACATACAATGTCACTTAGCCACTTTCCCGCTGGATATCAAAGAATAACCGTCGATATTGTATTCGAATAATCCATCGTCTTAACATTAAACCAATCAATCAAAAAAATAACTGCTATAGATTAGTTGATATGTAGATATGATCCCCTTGCAGTAATCTCTGTAAAAATATAGTTAAGTAACCTTTTTATTTTATTTTCTTCATCCAAATCCACCTCAGTCTAAATATTTGACATACTTATTTAAATAATGAAAATTGCAGTATAGTTATGTGTGTATCAGTTTTCTCGCAAAATAACAAGGTGGCCTTATATGGTCTTTTACTATTTCACAAGGTGAAATATCTGCAAGGAAAAGTAAAAGTAGGTGCCGGCCAATGTTTTAAGTGTCTAATGAGGACAAAATAATATTGTGTATCGGTATTAGTAGATTGCATTTTATTTTGCACGCGTCTATATTAAATGGCACTTACTTCATTGTATTCATTCCAGTTACCTTATTTGCGGAGCGCATTACGAAACTCGAGCTGTTTTTCGATTTCTATTTATTTCTTTTTAACCTATCATCAATGATCTACGAGCTGCATTCATGATCTAATAGGGCATTGAGCAAATATTTTTAGAAACAACACATTAAATTTCGATGCCTCAAATTTGGCATATATTCCATATTTTCAAACCACATAAAGGCAATTGCAGGAATGATTAGCCTTATTTACATATTATTTACGTATTGATCTATGCACTGCTAATGATTTAAACAAATATTTACAACGCTTACTGCATTTGTTCGCCATAAATCACAACTGTTGATAGGTGCAACTATACTGCAGTTAGTACAATGCAATTTAATTGACCGCAACTGTCAGTTTTTTCTTTAAAAAAAATAATATAATGTAGTTAACAAACCTAGTATAATAGATTAAAAAAATAAAAATATATACATAAAGAAAACCGCTGAAGTTATCTGAAAACGTCGTGTAAGTAACAGTAATTGAATGAAAAAAAATCTTATTCATACATTACGAGTAGTTGTTCAAAAATATGTAGGTATTGGAATACACAATTCTGGTATACCTAAGGAGATATCAATAATAATTGTCGGTTCGTAAAAAAATGAGAAAAAAATGTTATAACGCCGCCGCCAAATGTCAAAATGTGGCCAACTGTGCTTGGCAGATGCGGGCCAGGCCGGCGCAGAACAGGCCGGGGTTGCCGGGTCTGGCTCGTGCTCTAGTGCCCCACCTGGCTTTCGTGGGCCCCCAGGTGACCCGCACCTGCCGACGAGTATACAAAGTGTCCACGATACCAGAAGAGGAAACATCTGAAGGTACATGTGATAGTTTTTAATGTAATTATGAAGAAGCGAGCCGGCGTTGATACACTTTTCGGGGAAAGGTGCGCCCTGTTCATTGTCTTCATTTATTGTTCGGGTTTAAGAACACCTTACATATTCGGCGAAAACGTGTAAATTTTAATGTATTTAAATCGTATTAAGGCCTGGTATTTTCACCTTCAGCTTAAGGAATTATTTCTCCCCGCTATTGCACTATTCTCATTAATAATTATTTTAACATTATTGTTATAGTAGTTTATAATTTTCACTGTACAGCAAGTAAAAACTATACATGAATGAAAAATGAGCTATTAATAATTAAAAAAACTGTCTTCAGTTGAGAAATATTAAAAAATATGTTTTACATTAATCTGTATAATTGATAATTTGTCACAAATCAAATAAACTAATTTTTAATAATAAGTTAATGCACGTGTTTTCAATAAATAAAAACAATAAGAAATAATGCGACACATGTTATTAGAAAAATGAGATATCAGCAGTAACTATATTACATGCCGTTAGTGCTAAATTTGATGATAGTATAATTAATTTAATTGAAATTAAATTCACATATTATTTAGAGATACATTAAGATAAAATTGATTCATAATCTCAAATTATTCATATTAAACGTTATTTTATGTAATTTTAGTTCGTACAATAAATAATGATTAAATTTAACACGTTTCTGTATTTTTGCCTCTACCGGCACGCAGTCTACATTAGCTGATAAATTACTTAATATAAGTAAACATTTATCCAGCAATATGCAGCAGTTAGTAAAAGCAGAACACTATCGGCATTTCAATCGCGCTGATCAGCATATTTCAAGGCCAAACGAGAGACTTGGCTACACAGAAATGCATAATTAGTATTTAATGAAAATGCTTCTAATTATAGACATAATAGATTGTACGACGAACATATGTACACTCAGTACAATATGACTGTGCTAAGTTATTATATTATTGAGTTGAATTGGAGCCAGGGAGCAATGTATCTTTGGATGCATTCTAGCAGGAACAGAAAAACCGTTGAAGGGAATCTTGTATATTATTTCAACAATTTTTTCAGTATCTGAAATTACTGATCGTGGACTAATTAGTAAAATTTTCCATCTGATTGTTAAATGTAAACATTGCGGTATGCTTTGTGGACCGTAGAAAGAGACATAAAAAATGCTCTCAAAAAAATCCGGGGACCGTTTAAAAAAATGTCGGTTTAAAGAGGATTTCGATGAATTGCTTAGGTAGATCAAAACAAAGCCATAAAATTCAGGTAACGTCCCATTCAGGATGACGAAAAACGTATTCTTTTTGAATTTTCAAGGATGTCTTATTCACCAATAATATTCATCTTTTGAATCATTTCATGTTTCGTTCATTCGATGTTGGGAGAAAATGAAGAAGACACAATTTCGAAAGATCATCCTTGACCTCATATTACAATACTCTTTCCAGACAATACCAATTCACCTTAACTCATCTCAAAATAAATAAAACAAAGACATGAATATTGCATAAATGTAGTCGAAGCTTAATTAGCACTCGAGTGCACGCGATAAATTCTATAGTACCGAGAATAGGCCAATTTCAAAGATAATATAATAAGTGACTGTACGCTGAAATCTCGTAGGCCACTATTACAAACAAACCGCTTTAGATTGAAGGAATTATTCAAGCAATTTGTCGGATTTGTTTCTCTATGTTTGTGTACCTTTAAATGAAATTAATAACACAATGGATATTTAATAAGCACCGGTTAGATTTATTTTCATGCACGAGTTTCTCTAGTTATCATCGAGAAGTTTGAAGCATGGTAGGTGTTTTTTAATATGAAGGAATATTTTTGAAGATAGCTGTTCTTATCACATTCTTATCTTTATTTTAATTTAATATATTTTACTTACCTACATATGTATATTAATTAAATCTAAAAAAGCTGCGTGAGTTTCTTTGATAGATCTAATCGATATTAACAATGATGCCTAAGCAGCAATTAACATTCGAAAAAATCGATATTTCCTTACTTGGAACCGGATAAATTGCCAATAAATAAACTGAAAATCGACCAGCTTTTAATCAAGAAATTCTAAATAATCGCCGCATACCGCGGCCCGCCGCCATTCAATAACGTTATTTTACTTTCTTCTCATTCGATCAGATACAAAGCTAATCGTTCCAATCCGTTTCTCAATTGGAGATTTTAACACATAATGTGAACAGGTATGTCATGAATGTAACCACAGTACTAGTTAATTATTTAAAGAAACCAGTCGAACAGGTTGGGAGTAAATACGAACCGACGTTTGATATACCACAGCGACATGGAATTGACTGCTTTTTTTTCAAATTTTTTTAAAGCTTGTTTGTTTTGTAGTCGATAGTAAGGCTAATTTTGTTTATTTTTTTAATTAGGCACAAACAATAACGAAGCTGTTGAAACTAAAGCAATGACTACTGACTAGTACAATTAATTATTGTATTCACCATAAAAGCACAGAAGCTGGTAATACAGTAAATAAGAAGCGTTGTATAATACATATAAAAGAGTTGTTAGAAGCATTTGCGTTCATTATTCCAACTGTGCCAACGTTAATTTTAATTAAATACCTAGATTACAACCTACTGTTCAGAGAACGGTCCATCAATCATTGAATTATTTAAGCGTTTTGAAAATTGCATCTATTGGATAAGCTTCGTTGTAAAATACTCGACAATTTAACGCTCTATTATAAATAAAACATAATCCGGGGTGTTTCGATCAGGTGAAGAAAAAAACCGTGTATATGCAGCTGATGGCTCTGTTTGATATATATATGACAGAGGAATCGGACAGGTGGCGAGACGTGTGCTTCTGCTTTCTTCATTTTTCTCTTCACCAGTACACGTATATCATAAACTGCCTATTTATTAACGCTTCCTTTAAAAGCATTTCGCGCTATTCATCGCTTCTTTATACAATAATGTTTGATACTTACTTAAGTATTTGTTTATTTGATTCTAAATGGATTTAAACTGCCTTTGTCGCTGAACAAATAAATTTATTTGTACAGTTATTAAAGATGATGAAATTTGGTTTATATTTTTTTAATCGACGATTAAAACTTTATGTAGGACAAGTGGCTAATTTCTTACTAGATTAGTGGATATTTAAGGGCTTTCTATTTCTATTTTTGGTTAATATAGAAAATATATAATGATGGCGTTGTCTTCTCACGGATACATAGGGAAGCTTAGGATTGATTGAAAAAATATGCAGTATTCTAAAATCTAAACATTGTCTGTCGCAAACAAGAGACAAATTGATGTTTATTTTTACACACTACAACCACATCGTAATAATTTACAGCATCCTTAGCAAGATTGATAGATTGATTCTCTCTGCCATACATCTGAATTCCAAAAATATAGACCATACCCCTCGATTCTCGTTCGTGTTTCACAACCCCTAACGGTATTTTCTTCGTTCAAACTATTATTAGTTCTAATGCCGAATGTTGTGTGCGACCTTGTTCTAAACCAGGCGGTTGTGCGGGTGTAGATCAATTTTTTTTAAAGGACAGGACTATTTTCGTGTTTGGGGTTACTGAGGAATTTTACAGGGACGAACACGTTCGAACGGAAGCCGCTCGAAGCCTTATTAAAGGGCGTTTATTTTCGAAAATAAATTTAAACCGGCTTGTTTACCACCACCTATGTGGCCAGCAAGTCAACCTTAGTTAACGAATGTGACTTACCTGTCTGGTGACCGTCTACTTACATATATTATACAAGGACAATACGTTGTTGTCACACGAGAAGAAGTCAACCGGTGAACAGAAATAAAAGAGCTGTGAAAAGGTTTCTTTGCGAAATATGATGGATTTAGTAGAATGGAATATACAGAAGTTGATTGTTGTATTATGGTACAATTCCTGTAAATTTCAAGATAACAAACATTAAAGATATCCATCCATCGCATCGTTAAATTTCTCAGTTGGACTAATACGATCGTTTTACAAACAATCCATCTAGCCAAACATTGAGCCATTTGATTAATTACGTTAATTATGCAAATGCCCGGCCTACCGGCATGCAGCCTAAACGCCGACGCGTTTTTTCCTCGACGACTACGCGAGAGTACGAGCCTCTCATCTGCCTCCTGTCGGCGTGTCGTATACTCGCATACGCTTCGGGTTGTTGGGCCAACAAAGTTTGTCGTTGTGCGGTTGTTAGTCGACGGCCTTGCGCATCCGGTCGCATCGGCATCGCATCGTGTCTGACTTGCCTTCGCGCTCGTCGTCGCTCGCTCGTTCCGCTCGCCCATGCCTGCCACTCACCGACCATTCTTCACTCTTATCTACTCTTGCCTCGTCTCGGCGGCGATGCCGCACCTACCGCGGCATCGCAGCTACGGGGAAATATCGATTCGACCGTCCAGTGACGGCGCTCAAGACAAATTCATCGGATTATTTCCGGGTTTTTTCACTTTAAACGATTAATTACTTCGCTACAAAGGTAGGAGGAGTGATTAGAAAAATTACTGACGTCTAGAAAGGGCTAGAAAGAAATACTCCCTAAAGGTGCAGAAGATGTTGAAGAAAGTATCTTTATGACAATACAAGAAACGAGAAAGAGGTGTAGTATGGAAGAAATATTTCTTTTAAGTAGGTATGCAGAAGATGATGACGAAAATATTTTTATGACCCTACTAGAGGAGAGAAAGAGATGTAGTATGGAAGAAATGGTTCCAGAAAGAACAGAACCCACCCAAAAAAAATCATTTCTACCTAACGACGTACTTTGGTTCCTTTTTGAAAACTAAATGGGTCATAAAAGCGAATTTCTGCTGTATACAAATCGGTCTAGAACGATATTAGACCGTCTTCCGTGAACTCTGCGTTCGTATTTATCAGTTGAGTTCTTCTGCACGAATCCAGGAACGGCCAAGACGAATTCGGCCCCATAAATCACGCGGCTTCTGGGCGACCGTAAGTACGCACGTGAAACATGGGTCGGCGGGGTAGTTGTCACAACCCGCAAACTACCACAATCGAGACCGGTAAAGAGCGGCAATAATGCAGGACCGCATTCAGCACAAATCAACTACGAATGCAATCATCGTTTGCTTCTGTTGAGGGTTACATTTACCACTACAAACACCAATATTATCACATTTTTTATTCTCCATACCATTCCTATGTTTCAATTAAACAATCATCAATATTATATCGCTAAAGTCAACAAACATATAAACGAAAATTAAGTGATTATAGCGTTAGAACCGGAACCTCAGACCAATCCTGCACGCTGTATTGAAACTCTCTCTAGCTTTGACCATCTATTATTTACAAACTTGTCACATCTGCACCTATTGTGGCGAAGATGTTTCACTACATTGGCGGAGGTCCGGGAGATTTATTGGACAGTAATTCGTGATGGTATATTGTGAGGCCAGACATCAAACAGCGATCCACTATTGTTCTGCGTTTGTTAGGATATAAGTAAACCATCAAGTGGCGAAATGTACGTTCGGATGGTTGATTTATATCATAGGAAATATTAGTTCCAACTGTTACTGTTCTTATATTTTTTTATAATATAATGCTCTGTGTATATCTAGCCCTAAATTATATGATTTTATATTGTAATATATTAGTAAATTAGATCAAATAAATTAAAAAAAATCTCTGAAAATATGATTAAATCAAAAATTTATCGACTCGAAACTCGCCGCACAAGAGCATTTCTGTCACATACTTATAATAGAATCATCGAAAACCAAATAACCTGTACCATTAACCGATAATAAAAAACGATCCAAAAAGATTTATAATCTCAGCACTTTGTCTGGTAGTAGTGGGTATCTCTCGTAAAAAAGGAGGCATTCACAAAATGTTAAAAGAAGACGACAAGAAGAATAAAAGAAAAGAACATCGGCCCGGCCGATGCTCACACGCTGAAACGACTCAACTGCACCTATTAATCGGCTTATTAATCTTGTGGGGAGAATCACTAGCCAATAAATAAGAGTGGGAAATGAAGGCGTTAAAAAGCTAATTTCTAATGGTGATGTTGTAAAGAAAACAAATACGGTGTCCATCATAAGTATCCCACTTTACAAGGAGAAAGAAGAAAGTCTTCTAAAATTCATTAGAATGAGTAGTTTACAAGATTCATTTTAAAAGTGACCTTATTGATCTGTTTCAGAAAATCCAATGATTAAATTACCTATATTAGAGTCAAGTAACAATCTGTAAACTCTAATGCCTCTGGTAAATTTGTAGTTTAATTAAGCATACAATGCCCTATAGGTATGTCTTTGATTCGAATGTTATATTAAGTGCGAAGGCGCGTGCAATTGATCCACCACCGACTAAAGAACATCGGGTCGGTCCATGCTCAGACACAGAGCGTTCAGTTGTTCGTTCTCAGCCATAGCCACCCCAATTCTCAGAAATTGAGTCCCGGGTCAAACCGAAAACCAGTCATTTAGGTGAAGAACCTCTTCGACGAAAATTGAGAGAATTTAAATTCGGTCTTTGCTCGAAACGAATTCTGATTTATTTACGTTTTAACTGATGCACCAGTTGCGAATGCTAGCAGTTAACAAGTAGTTTATTTCGCCATTTTATGCTCTAACAAACCCCTTCATGGTCTCGATGGCGCCGCAAGCTCGCCTTCTCATTAGTTTTAGCGTTATGTAATATTGCAAGTCGTAAAATAAACTATTCCTGTATCAACGTCGAAAAAAAAATCAATCGGGAGTCAAAACATCGATACAGGAAACGAACGGGAGTTTTCACATACTGGCCGCTCTCCAAAAACCGTTCGCGTACGCGAATTTTTCGCATATTTCATCGGGTTCATTCTCATCGCGTGCACTCCGTTGCTCGCAATGAGCAATGAAAATATTAAAGCTAGCAAATACGGTTGCGAAGCTGAAGATTTATGATCCCGAAACCGATACAACAACAACAACGTAATGTTCGTTTCAACGAAAACGAGATAGATCAGAATGGGGTATTTTTAAGAATATTTGCGAAATGAATATTTGGCCAGGCTTGGCGACGTTTCGGAATTATTTGGCATATCATTATTGAATTTTATTTTCGTGAATGCGAGAATGTCTTTTGTAGGTGAAATATTAAATGATGTATAAATAATTTAATTTCTGTTGTATAGCATGAACCGTCACTCAAAGTAGACAATTTCCTTAATTAATGTAAAAGTAACTTTATGAAGAATTAATAAATCAATCAATTCGTCTATTCTATTGTGTATAATAACTATTGCACATCGATTAGGTATAGTTATTTCTAATAACGAAATTGACATTTAAAGAACATCTAACGCCTCTAGGTTATTAAAATCACAATTTAAACGCTTATTGTAATTGTTGCTGTCTATACTAATTACTGTGATTGCCAATTAGGTAATTGATTGCATAAACAATACTCGGTATAATTTAATTTGAAAGGCAACG